ATATAAAGAGATGGTATTTGGATAGCATTTTCTTATAAATTGTTTTATCTGATTGTCTTTTAATTTTTTTATTCTACCTTGTGTTTGAAGTTATTATATTATGAAGCACCTTTTTGAATTTTATTTTGAAAGGCTAACTCACTCCAATCATGATGCCTCATGACCCTTTTTATGCTTGAAATACAGAGAAGTCCCGATTTTTGTGGAGGTTAWCTATAGTGGACCTGCAAATCGTAAAACAACGTGAATATTGGATGTGGTTCAGAAAAGGGTGGCATCATAACGTGGCAAGAACCAAAGAAAAACAAACAAGGGCTAAACAGTTAGCAGCTACACAGTACTGTACAGTAAACTGAATGTGTCACATAATGTATTGGTTTTTTTATTTTATGGAACTGTATTTACGTTTATATATATGCTACAAAATATACTGCTTTTTATGGATTAGATTGAAAACTCACAAAAATGTTCACTGTAACTTATTTTTAGAAGAATCCGTGTTTGAACGAGCAGCAGGCAAATTATTTAGATCTGAGTCATTGTATTTGTCATTCTGATCAGTGACATTTATTACTAGATGTTTGCTGATAACGTGAATGAAYTCTGTAAAATATTCAGATTTAATTTAGAGACAGTTTCCTTCAGATAAACTGTTTTTGAGATGATTTTGAATATGAYAAATCCACTTTTGTAGCCGGTGATTGCATGTTTTTTGTGTACTTGGAGTCTCTAGGAGGCAGAAAATTTGAATTTAGGTTCTCCAGGTGCTGCATAGAAATCCTTATTTTCCCTTATTTAAATCCTTATTTGTTGGTCTTCATTCTCCTCTGGTTCTGGGTCAGACTCTGGATCCAACATGTGAGCCTGGATGGACAAGTCTCCCCTTAATTCATTTGTAAATAAAAAGTTTTTGCACAGCTGTATAGTCGTAAACCCCTCTGTGAAACTAGCATGGACCAGCCTGGAAGCTGGAGGGGGCCTTGTTTGGATTTAAAGCGACAGCCTCAAAACGAGTTGATCTAAAACTCAGAAAAGGGGTGAAAGTGGGGCTTGTGGAGTTACAATAATGAGCAGTTCCTCTTTATATAGGCCCCAACTGAAGGGTTTAAATGTAAAAAAGAAGGATTTAAAAGCAGGATATGATATCTAAATAACATTTTTCAAAACTCACTTAAACGGAGCACAAAATTAAAGTAAAAATAATAACTTCTTGTGTTTTTAAGAGTTTTTAAGTCTGTAAATAACTGTTACATAAATATGAGTTTATTCTCCTATTGGAGAATATTGGATGTTGCAACAAGTCCTTCAGCTCATAGAAAAACTCTTCATGTTCCTCTTTGAGTTCATAAAATGGTTTTTATCTGAAGAAGTACAGTTGTAGTGTTTCCTGTAATTATGAGAAATGTTGATGAGTGAGTCACCACTACACATCTACTTCCCATCACAAAGAGGAAACGTTGTTCATGGCTGGGCGGCCGAGGTGCTAAAAGTAGGGGGTGTTTGCAACAATGAGTTCTCCGAACGTGGAGCAGACGGAGGATTCAGCCACCCGGCCAACGCTCCGAACAGCTTTTATTATTCTGCACGCGTAAACAAACACATATTAATATTTGTTTAGAAACTTTAATGTCCAGGAGGCACATTGATCAGACGCACAATCCTAKTTAAAGTGACGACAGAGCAGAGGAAATCAAATACCACCCCACAGCACTTACTCCTTCAGAAAGGTTTTATACTCTGTTAGCTGCAGTTTGTTAGTCTGAGTTGCAGTTTGGTTTGCGTTGCATTAAAAGTCGCTCAGTTGTGAGACGTGAGCAACCCGCTGCGCAGACAGACGAAGGTGTTGCTACAGTTTGACACCTTTTTAGTTTTACTCTACAACATGTCGTCGTTAGTTTCTATCTTTACTTTTTAAGTGACAAGTTGACAAATCTCAAACAGAGCTTTTTTTGTCTTTCCCTGTTTTGTTGATGTAAATAATGAGCAGATTAGAGAAATCTTTTATTTTGTTTCAAATATGGAGTTTTTTTTCTTGGATAACTGATAAATATTTTATAGACTTTTACTGACATTATATTCATATTTATTTATTATTAAATTCACTATATATATACGTGTATGTATGTGTGCGTGTATATGTATGTATGTGTGTGTGTGTGTATATATGTATGTGTGTGTGTTTATACATATATGTGTGTGTATGTATATTCATAATATGATGATTTCACTTTGACGATAAAAATTTCTGTAATTTCATCATGCTCTCTGTACGATGACAATAAAGGTCTCTCTAATCTAATCTCTAAAATTTCAAAATAAAAGTATCAAAATATGAATATATAAACAGTATATATGTATGTGTGTTTGTGGTGCATTTAAGACAAAAATAGATTTCAGTTTCAATCATTTCTTTCGTAAATGTATTTGCAAAATAGTTTATATTCATATAATCATATTTTTAGAGAATACATTTCACTGCCTTGCATGTTAAAGTTTAAAGGAATTAATGGAAGCTGGAACGCTTAAGTCTTTTTATCTTTTACCCTTGAAATGTTTATTTTGTTGCATTGAATCACACATTTTAATTTACAATTGATTAAAAATTTTATATTAAATAAAAAAACAACATTTTTTAAATTATTTTGAGGGGCAGGCCGGATAGAAGTCGCCTGCAGGCCACCAGTTGTAAAGCCCTGTTCTATACAGGCTTATGACTATGTGAACTACTATGATTTRATTTATTTATTTTATTTAGAGTAATTTTAAGAAGACTGCAATCATTGTTGTCTCCACTCGGACAAGCTATCAGCTCAACAAGAACAACATTTCAAAAATCGAAAATATCTCTTCAGGTTTAAATGCAGAAGTTGGTCTTGGAGAGGTTTAATTTGAAAATAAGGCCAAAGATTTTCTCTCCAAAGTGTCAGACATGACCTCACTAAGTATTTGACCTGGCGGTGGTTTTTGTATATTTGTTTGTTTGTTTGTTTGTTTGTTGTTCAGGCAGGGGTTTTGAACGAGTGCTGTAGATGCTAACCTGGACTCGCCGGCTCCTGCGTGGCTTTCCTCAGGATCTCCGTCTGCTTGGAGCACAGCACTTGGAGGCGTCCCAGTTCCTCCGTTAACTCGGTGTAGGCCAGAGCCAAATTCACCCTGGAGGAGGAAATTATGRAATTATCATAATCATTGTTATTGCAGAACATTACAGGGCTGGCAGAGAGTTAAGGTGTTACAAACGCGCTCACGTCTGTCTTCCTTTAAAACCAGTCAAACATCGAAAAAAATAAAATAAAACTCGGGCAGGCTGAATAAAGCAGCTTATATTTTTAGATTGCACGTCAGAGTGCATAATTCAAGTGCATAAAATCGCACGGCTTTCAAGCGCCGATGTGTCACGAGGCTCTCAGGGGCTGCGTCGACAGAGAACATCTATTTCCAGATCTAAAAATGAGGATGGACATTTTACAGGCTTCTGTGTTTTAACCATGGCAACAGGCTGACTTTGTTTCAGCTCATCAAACTAATCATGAACAAACTGAATTATGTCGACTCTCAGACCTCAGAGCTTAGTCACCACCAATGCCATAAACTGTTCAATCTGATAAGAGGTTGTTTATGGCAGAGATGGCAGCAGTTTTTATAAACGGGTCAGCCTTGATCTGAAACAGACTCATTCAGAGGAAGATTTATCGCGAGCAGACATGAAACCTCGAGATCTAACGTGGCGATGTCACAATCGCTACGTGGGGCCTGATAACCATCAGTTTTCAGCTTTGAGTAATTTCTTATATGCGGCCCTGGCGTTCAAGAAAATTCAAGTTATCATTAGTTTCTGAAACAATTTAAAAGCCCAGCACTCCTTGAAGAACTGCGTATCTCTCGCCCCCGCTCACTTTTCATCCTTTGTTGATAAACTACAGAGTTGCAGAAGTGAAACATGATGCAACACGAGATGAGCTGTTGCATGGTCTGATAGTGGTTGGAGTATGTGTTGTGGATGACTATCAGCTACTGCCARACCAAATTCTACCTCAYTATCTGCAAAATCCAGTGTTGTGATCGTTTTTGTGCAAGCTAAAGTCGATTAGCTGTGAATCGAAAACAAAAAAAACAGTTTTGCAACCCCAAATTTGCAAATCRTTTTCAACTTATATTCAATAGAATACACCACAAAGACAAGATATTTAATGTTCAAACTGACAAACWATGTTTTTTGCAAATATTCACTCATTTTGAATTTTACGCTGCAACACGTTCTTAAAAAAGGGTCATGTTTCCCACTGTGTTCCATCCATTTAACAACARTCAGTGTTTGTGACCTGAGGACACTGATTGTTGAAGCTTTTAGGTGAATTCTTTCCATTCTTGCTRAATGAACAACTTCAGTTGCTCAACAGTCCGGCGTCTTTTCATAATACTCCATGTATTTTCAATGGGAGACAGGTCTGGACTGCAGGCGGGCCAGTCTAGCACCTGCACTCTTCATATGAAGCCACGCTGTTGAAACACGAGCAGAATGTGTCTCCGTTGTCTTGCTGAAATCAGCAAAYCGTGTCTAAAGCAGGCAGTATGGTCGCTCGGCAGCTGACCGGTCGACGCGCCGTCACGTGGTTGTTCGGCGATCGTTTTCGCACAGATCTTTCATAGTTCCTGACACCCCGCGCCGAGCTCCTGGGAAAACCCCTCCCGCTGCAGCAAATGTCACTGCATGGGATTCCTTCCCGGGGGAGTCCAATGCGGGAAAAAAAGTTGAGACTCGTCACTCGACGTTGTTTATCCACAAACTGGTCCAGGATTAAGCTGCAAAGTTTTTATCAGTCATATTCCACCATGAAAAATGTATTTTTTATCCCCTTTTATGAGTATTTGGCCATTTGACTATCATTATAAATCGCTGCTTCCTGGTACAACAGTCGGCTCTGGAAGCGATCGCTTATTTTTTTCTTTCTGTTTTTGAAGCAAGTGTTTGAAGCAAATGCAGCATCTGAGCACTTTCAGCCCAAACACTCCCACAAACCTCTGACCAATCACACCATATAGTTCGTATGTGATCTTATGTGGAGGGGGGTGAAAAGTTCGACCCACGGGTTGCGACAAGAAGTGCTGAAATATCTGCAATGTGAACAGAKGTGACGCAATTTTCGTCATGAAACTGCAACAGTTTGGCACGATTTCGGCAGTTCAGCAGCAGCATGCAGGAGGCTTTAAAAATGGCTTGGATGGCAGCACATGTTGCTCCTAAACCTGTTTTGTAGCTTTCAGAATTAACACTGCCTTCAGAGTTACCCACGGGCACTAATACACCCCCATACCATCAGAGAGGCTGGCTTCYGACAGTCCTTTTCCTCTTCGTCCCGGAGGACACCACGTCCATGATTTCCAAAAACAATTAGAAATGGACTCGTCAGACCACAGGACACATTCCTACTTTGAGTCGGTCCATCTCAGATGATCGGGTCCAGAGAAGCCGGCGGTATTTCTGTTGTTGATATGTCTTTGTCTTTGCATGATAGAGCTTTAAATTAAATGTAGAGAGGTACTGACAGGTTTTCTGAAGTCTTCCTGATCCCAGGTGRTAATATCTGTTACAGAATGATGTGTGTTTTTAATGCAGGGCTGCCTGAGAGGTCAAAGGTCATCCAGTGTTGGTTTTCAGCCTTGCTGCTTATTTGRAGAGATTCATCCAGATTCTCTGAATCTTTTGATGACGTTATGGACTGAAGCTGATAAAATCCCTATTTTGTTTTCAARTGTACGTTTGTACATTTAATATTTTGTCTTTGTAATGTACACAATTTAATTTAAGTTCAAAAGGATTTGCAAATMATTGTATTGTTTTCGTTTTACACAACATCATTGGAATTGGGGTCGTAGATCCAATGACTTAAAACACTTCCAGTGGTTCATGAGACATTTTGCTAACAGGGTCGACTCCAAAACTGCAAAACTAACATTTTAAGCAATGTGTTGCGTTCAAAGTATAAAACTACTACTTCAGTTTTAAAGTGGATYTCTGTAAAATTCACTGAGTCATGGCCGTTGTCGTGTTTTTTAACGTCAGTTGGTTGCGATCGTCACTCCGGTAAAGACAAAATCATTCTCGCTCCATCCAAACCTTTGGTGGCATGTGTAGATAAAAACATCTGAAGGTCAAACGTGCACCCAGACAACCTGACCGTGAAGATAAACGAAATGCCAGGAATAAAAAGAGGATGTTAATTGTGCGCGAGAACGCTCAGCTCAGATCTGATAACCGGCTCGATGTGATGACAGTGCGGAAAATTTTTTGACTGATCTCATTCTTCCATAAAGATGGTGCTGGATAAAAAAAAAAACACTGCAGCTTCTCAACACTTCTGCTTAACTTGGGCATCTTTCTTTCCGACGCATCAAAAGGAGCAGATTCTTGTGCAAACTTAAGAACAAAAACAAAAACAGGGCAACAACTAATTCCTCCTACGCTGCAATTAAACTGTCAAATTTGAAAACGATGTCCTCCAYCACACCCACTAACTCCAATAAAAAAGTCTTTTATGTTCTGAGTGGAGGTTGACTTTATTCTGACTTTATTTTCATACTTTTTAATAGACTCTCAAAGCTGAAAGCTCCCCCCCCACACCTCCCTGCTGCGCAATTTGGACGGTTTTAATTGAAGTTGGCCACAGCAGCCACACCTCACACATGTCAGCGCTCAAATGATGTTTTGAAGACGACTCTCAGCTACTTACTTCACCGAATTTTAGRTCGCTATCTGTCAAATTAGCCAAGTTGGAGCCATTTCTGTGCTGTGGTGGCCACCTTGATTTGGATCAGTTGTCGACAAAGACCTGAGGAAAATCTTCTGAAAGTTTCACTAAAACTCATCCAGTGGCTCAGGTACGGAGCCCGCGAGGGGACATGGGAGAAAAAATAAAATAAAAACGGATCCTGGCTTTGATTTTCAGGATCCCGACTTTGGTTCTCAGGATCCCGACTTTGGTTCTCAGGATCCCGACTTTGGTTCTCAGGATCCCGACT